CAGACCATTTCCTCTGGTCTTGTCGTTCGTCCTTTGGGAGAAGAGGCCAACACCTGCCTCTCTACACCCTCCTTTCAGGTAGTTGTAGAGGGCAATGAGGTCTCCCCTCAGCCTCCTCTTCTCCAAACTAAACATGCATGTTGATACCATGTAGACCATTCCAGATTTCCGTGTCACTGACAGCTGACAGAAGGGGCTCACGTTAAACCAGCAGCATTCAGATGTGCTTTTCTTATTATTTGTGCAGACAGGGGGGAGGAGGGGGCGTGTGGGGTGTGGAATGTTCCACAGAATCCTCAGCGACTGGAGACAAACCCACCAACCTGCTGGAAAACATCTTCCTTCAGGTCCCGGCGGGTGCCCCTGACGGCCGTGTCCTCGCTGTCGCTGGTGCAGGAGGAGCGACACTCGGGGCCATGGAGCAGGTCGTCCCAGAGCATGTCCTCGGTCTCGGAGTCGTGGCGGGTGCTCTCCGAGTCCCTGCGGGTCACGCTGCAGCTCCGGGAGCCCGTGCTGGTGCAGGACCTCGAGTCCTGGGGAGAAGAGCACAATTCACACCACGCAGCCCCTTCCCCAATCCACAGAACCTCCTCCTCCTCCCCCCGGCAATGGGTGAAATCAGCCTCCACGGGGCAGCCGGGCACCCCCAGTCCCACCCACCCCACAGGAACTGTTAAACACAATATTTTTAGAGACAACATCGCTCAGTGAGAGTTTCTGCAACCAGCATCTCTGCACAGGGAGTCACACAGAGAGCATGAGTTCCCCACCTCTATGCCCAGCAACATAAAAATTGATTTATTCGTCCTAATGCAAAAGTTTTTTTCTGCTTGTTGCATAATCTATTTCAAGATTTCATTTATATTTTATATTTATAATTTGATATTCATCTATTTTATTTCTATTTTATTATCAGGTGGGTGGAGTGGCAGGGGGCAAGATAAATGAAGTAAAGAAGTGAATGAGTATATATCACAGAACAGCTTTAATTTTAAAATCAAAATTTATCAGCATAAAAGCTACCGTACAGTGCTGCCTCCCAAAGCACAAGAGCAATTGGAGCAATTCAACAAGAGGAATTAAGAGGCAGCTTGGGCCATACTATGCTGCAAATAGGGTGATTTTTTTTGTTGGTTTGGTTTAGTTTTGTTAAACAAAGGAGTATACTCACAACTGTGAACAAAGTTCACAAAGCTGCCAACAAGCAGGGAGCAGTCACACCTTACACCTGAAGAGGCCAAAGCACTATCATGATGGTCTGTTCTATGGGGATGAAGCCCCTGCACTGCCCAGGCCCCACAAAGCTCTATCTCTTGAATTTATGACCATACCTGACTATACAATGTGGATTCTAGTTCAGATTCCACGACACTGTCAGAGTCTCTGGCGACTTTCAGGGCTTGCTTGACCTGCCAAAACCAAAGGCAAACCAGCTCGTTATCCGTAGCAAAAACCAGTGTGAAAAATGGCATAAATTCACCCCCAGTACCTGTGAGACAGCCTGGTTCAGAGAAACAAGAGGCCTCTTTTTCTTCTCTTCATAACTATTGTCACTGGAAACCCCTTCCACGTTCTGGCGTAACAAGATCCTTTGTGCCATGGCTTCAGCATCCTCCTCGCTCGAGAGCTCGTCGGAAACACCACCCCTGTTGGTGCAGTCATCCTGGAAACACAGCACTCACAGTAAGACCAAGGCCCAGTAAAGGACCAGCTTGATCTCCATCACACCAAAGGTTAAAGGCCAGACAGGGATCTCTCATCACCTGCCAAGGCCAGTGGAAGAAGATTTCCACAGAATATGCAGAAACAGAATCCAACTTGGCATCACAGAGACATCACACATTCTAACTCGTTACCCCTCTGCCTCGCACAGAGGTAACGAGGGAATCCTGGAGGGGGTGGAGTTGGGTTTGGGGCAAGGCTGGGAAGAGGAAGGTGCAGCCACAGCTCTTGGCTATGTCTCACCAGCAACTTTTAGCCCAGGAGAATAGCTGTGTCTACAAGCTGGTGGCTAGCAGACCCAAAATCATGAGATGTGTCCCCCCACACCAATCACTGCTCCTCCCCAAACACCCAGAAACAGAGCAGTTGGGATAGGACAGGACTGCACTGCTCCACAAATGTTCTTCATGTGGGAGTCAACACCTCACAGACCCAGAGAAGCCTCAAAAGTAACTCCACATGCTTTACACAGATTTTAACACAGCTCCCGATGCTTTAACTCTGTCTTCCCCAAGAGATGCTTCAGTTTTTCCTTTCCTGCCTCCCCTCCGAGAGGGTATTGTGCAGAACTCTTTGCAAGGCAAATTATTTTACAGAACTGCTTTTGAAAATTGCTGATTTACTTATTGTTAATCATTACTAGTGGTCTTCCTTAACTGAACATATGGTGATCAGAAGTCTCTACAACTAAACGAGCACTTTGCTAAACCAGACATTTTTCAGGCTTGTCTGTGTTTGACACACTTGACTATTGGGACAGATGAAGCATCAGCAGCACGTCAGCTGTGCAGTGGAGAAGCAGAAAGGGTTTTCAGGTGCCCTACATGCAAGCAAAGATTAGGAGAAGAAGGGAGTATCTTGTATTAGATCAAACCATACAGTTAAGCATCAACAAACTTTCAGGCACACACAGAAAACACTGACATTTGCAGCTTCAAATGAATCTTTCCTGCCAGTACCTGGTGGCTCTTTTCCCCATCGGAAAGTTTATTTTTCTCTTTGAAGTGCAACGGCCTGTATTCAGATCTGGCATGTCTGTGCTTAATGTCATTATTCACAGCATCCACGCCATTTTCTGTCTCGGTCCCTTTCTCAGCTACCAACTTTATTCTTCTAATCCTATGAGAGAAAATACAATTAAATGCTTTCATGGCAGAGAAAATCTCCTTGAGGAAAACATCACGGTCTCTTTCAGTTGCCACCCAGGTACAGCACCAGACAATACAGCTACGGGAGCACGTCATCGTCTGCTGCTGACAGGCTCCTTGTGACCTGATTCTCTTGAAAAGACTTTTATCTACTTCACTCTCACTGGATGGTTCTTTTGTAACTCTAATAGTATCTTAAAACTTCTAAACCAAGAGGGATTTTTTTTATTATTATTATTTTGAAAAATAATAAATAAGAGCATAAATAATAAGACAAAAAGTCCTCATCAAAAGAAAGGACCTGTCAGTTGAAAACTCATCAAGAAACTCACTGGAGAGAACAACAGAAGACAATTAAATACTATCCCAAACAATCTATCCTCCTTTTCCTTGAGTTACTTTTAGAAAAAGTAAGGTGGTGAAGTGGGATGATGATCCAAGGAACTTAAAGAACAATTGATTTGGGAAATCAGGTAAAACAGCAATATAATTTGAGCAGACACATTCAAGAAAGGTCACTTATCTGATAAATAAAAATAAGCTCCCACAATTTCTGCAACTCATCTAACACTCAGTTTTAGTTATTCTGGGAGATATGGTACCATCTCCTAACAAGGACGTACTGAAAATTCATGAGGAATCAGCCTCCTACAATCCCAAGAGTGCTTTTACTTCAAAAGAAAGTCATGGGCAGACTCCGGGGACATCAGTGACAGAACATTTCATTTTCCAGCTACCAAATTGTTCAGTGTCATTACAAACACAACAAACCCCGTGGAGATCACGTACCTCCTGCGGAAAAGCACACTAAAAACACTGTTAAGAACAGATTCAGATTCAGCCTGCTCTTCTTTACTGGTTTTGTCAGAAGACCAACTGTTCCCATCGACTCCCACAGATTTGCGTAACTTCCTGATTTTTAAAAAAAAGGAGAATTAAATATGCATAGAAAGCTAATTTTAGGTCTTTCTTAAAAGATCTGAATCAGAATTGAATGGCTTCTTAAATGCTATTTTTCTTAAGTCATGCTTACATGCAGATAAAATAAATTTTCTTTGGATTAACAGTTCTCCAAAAACCCACAGGACACCGGTGTATCACTGGCAAAGGATGCAAGAGACAAAATGTGGGCAAAACCTTTGCAATGGTTTTGGAAATGGAGGCAAAACTCTACCCACATCCATCGTTCTGTGTTCAAATATATTCTGTCAGTGCTCACACGGAGTCAGATACCTGAGTCAACTATCTAGCAGGGGACTGTCTCGTCTCCCACAAGCTCAAATGCCCGCAGTGAATCCCCCACAGCCATCTCTGCCTTCATTTCCCTCTTCTCAGCAATTCCTGGCAGCTCCTGCCACAGCAGGGCACGGCCATCTCTGCCTTCATTTCCCTCTTCTCAGCACACGCCAGCAATTCCTGGCAGCTCCTGCCTCAGCAGGGCACCGTGCTGGGCTGCAAGCCCTTGGAGATGCCTTTCTGCACAGAAAGCCCTCCTCTGGCCACAAAAAGAAACTGTATTAAAAAGCTACATTAGGAAAAAAAAAAAGAAAAAAAAAGGCCCAACTGTCAACTAAAGCAAAAAAAAAAAAAAAAGAAAAAAAAAAGGCCCAACTGACAACTGATCTATCACAGCCTGGAAAATTCGCTCTGCATTTGTCTTAGTTATGAGAAGATTACAAGAGAGACAGAAAATACACATTTTCTGTTTATGGTTAAATAACGTATTTACATAAAAATAGAAGATATTTACCCATTAACTGCTACCACAAGCAATCCATCACGTGCTTTGACCCCCAAAACTGCACCCCTTACCCCGCTCACCTCCTCCGCCTGCTGAGCCCGTTGTTTGCTGAGGGTCTGTTGATCTGGGTGGACACGATCTGGCAGTGGACGGTGCCCATCAGTAACATCAGGCACATGGGTCCCATGACTTCGCTGGCGTTGACAACAGGCATCATGAAATACAACACAACTGCTACGACTGAGGAGGAGAAAACTGTATCAAACGCAAAAATTAAGACCACGGCCCAGCTTTTCAATCTAAAGAATTTTTTTTTACTGATTTGTAATTTCTACAAATACCAGCGCCACGCATCTTGAAATCCGCATGGAGTAGGTGTCAGAGAGGATCCTTGTGCTTTAGATTAGGGACTACAAAATGGTGTCACACTCCTCAGAGGCAGGCCCGTGGCACAGAGAGTCACCACCCCTTACCTTGCATAACATAGAGCACCAGGAGCCACGTAAAAATGCGCTGGGAAGTGACCTGTATCCACCACTGGCTGAATAACGGGAAGAACACGACTCTCACAATCCCTTTCCGAGTCAGCGACGTCCAGGGGATTTCGGGCTTGGCTTTGGCAAACGTAGAGCCTTGGAATTAAAGGAAAAACAAACAAATTGTTAATCGTGAATTATGAGAACTCCGGTACATAAACCAGACACTGAGCTCCCGAGGGTGGCAGCGACCGGGCTCCCAGGTCCTGCTGGCTCCGGGGTCATAGAATCACAGAATGGTTTGGGTTGGAAGGGACCTCAAAGATCATCTGGTTCCAACCCCCCTGCCCTGGGCAGGGATACCTCCCACCAGAGCAGGTTGCTCAAGGCCCCATCCAGCCTGGCCTTGAACCCCGCCAGGGATGGGGCAGCCACAACTTCCCTGGGCAACCTGTTCCAGTGTCTCACCACCCTCACAGTAAAAAATTTCTTCCTGAGCTCTAATCTGAATCTTTTTTCTTCCAATTTAAAACCGTTTCCCCTTGTCCTATCATTGCCCTTCCTGGCAAAGAGTCCCTCCCCAGCTCTTCTGTAGGCACCCTTCAGGTATTGAAAGGCCGCTATAAGGTCTCCCCAGAGCCTTCTCTTCTCCAGGCTGAACAATTCCAGCTCCCTCAGCCTGTCTTCATAGGAGAGGTGCTCCATCCCTCTGATCATCTTTGTGGCCTCCGCTGCACCTGTTCCAGCTGCTCCTGCCCGCCCCGGCCCCGCTCCTGCGGCTTTTCCTGAGGCAAAACCCCCAACTCCTCCTGCCTCCTCTCTGGGGCTTCCAGCGCTCCTTCTGCGGTCCCGCCGCGCTCCCTACCGCCGCCGCCTCCGGAGCCGAAGGGGGGGTTCAAGCACAAATCCCCGGCGGGGGGGGGGCCTGCCCGGGTTTGTTTTTGGATCACGTACCACCGGGGCAGGCCCGGGGGCTGCGCGGGGGCAGCGGCCCCGCTCACCTCGGATCAAATCCACGTCGATCAGGTCAGGCTGGATGTGACCCTTCTTCTTCGGCTTGTTTTTGAGCGGGGGGGGGGGCGGGGGGCCGGGGGGGGGGCGAGCGGCGGCCGCCGCCGTTACCTTCATCTCGGTCTGCTCGATGGACTTCTCCCATATCTGCTGGTCGTAGGCCCCGATCTAGAAGGAGAGGAGGGCTGAGGGCACGGCCGGGCCCGCGCCCGCTCGCGCCGCGCCGCACTCACCTTCTTCTGGTACCAGGAAATGGCATCGGTGCCGCGAGCGGCCATGGGGGCACCGGGCCCGGTACCGGGGCCCCGTTACCCGGGAGACCGCCGCGAAACGCGGCGCTCGACTGCTTCCGCCTGCCCCGCCCAGGCAGCGCTGGGAGAGCGCCGAGCCCGGCCCCCTCCCCCGAGCGGAAATAAACAAGCCAGGCCGTAAAGGACAAAAATCAGACTTTTGTTTATTAAAAAAATACTTTACAGGAAAAAAATTCTATGCATTCCGTCGGATCTATTTTACAAAGAAATAGCTTAACAGTTTTGACACTGGTGTACAGTCAGCTACCGGGGGAGACGCGCCGCGTTGGGGCGGGCCGAGGCCCCGACACTCGCCAAGGGCAATAAATAGACTAAGGCCGCACGAAGCGCAGGGCTCACGCCTTCCATAAATTAAAACCACAGAAAGAAAGAAAAAAAAATAATAATAATCGTAGCTGCCAATCAAATCAAATCACAAGAACAGCGATACAGAAATCTCTTTACACCTTGTACCACACACACACGCACACACTCACACGCTTTGGGGGAGAAAAGCTGCTTTTTCGGGAGCAGGACCAGGCCCTTTTCTCTCCCCGCACCCTCGGCGAGCCCAGAGCTGCCACCGCTCCCGGGGCCCGGCCGTCCCAGAGCCCCCCAACCAGCCCAGGCCTGTGGGAAACACCCCGACACCTCCCCGTGTTGGGGGAACTCAAGTGGGACGGCAGGAAACCCCACAGAGCAGGGCAGAGAGCCCTTTTTCTCTATGGCAAGATCTATACCTGTGAAAAACGTCGATTATAAATCCCCTGAGAACACTTCACCGAGTGTCCCACCTTCCTGGAAGAGAACGTGTATCAAGTATCTGCACAAAATGACTTGTAGCATGTCTAAAGGAGAGAGGAAACCAAAGCTAAATGGTATTTTGCCTTTAAATTGCATTTTGCTAGTCCATTTCTAGCACAATTGAGCCACTTGCCTCTATCCCAAGTGACAATTGTAATGAACAGCACTTTATTTAAAACAGAGGCCGAAGCCCGAGTGCCGTGTCTCAGAGCTGATCACTTCACAGACAGATTCACAGCGTCTCCACCAAAAAGCAGTAGTTCCTAGTTGTCAACCAACAGACATTGCAGGGCAGATCCTCGAAGTGGGGAACTGAGGATTTATAGCAACTGGCCACTGCACTTGGAGTTATGAACTGCTCGGTATCTGCCTGGGCACTGCTAGGGACCATTAGAACAACCCATTGAATCTGCCAAAGTTTGGTTATTTCATTACATAAGCTGTTTTATGAGATCTTACAGAGAAATTCAAACAGCTGGTTATTTAACATGAGAGATATTCAAAAAATATTTACTTGGACCTACCCAAAACCCAGAGATTTGTTTTGTTCAGCAAGCACAAAGTGGCTTGAACTCTACTTCATTTCTAAACAGCAGTATCTTATAAAAAAATATCAGTATTTTACATGTCTTGTTCTGGAAAACATTTGCATCTTTCACATCCAGGCATTGTTCTAATTCTGCTCTGTTGTGTTCAGTGCGATCAAAGTTATGTGGAAACAACAGCTAGAGACAGTTTAGCTATCAGCTTCAGATGCAATCCCTCTCATACTTTAAACCCAGAATTGAGGTGGAGTTTGAAAGCATGTCATTTTGGTTAAAACGTACCAAAACATAACGTATTTAGGCAATAGATTTTTATAAAGTTCACTCCTCTCTTCCTCAATCTTCCCAGCATGCTAGAACAGCATCAGCCACATTCAAGTCATTTGAAGATACGTTTATGTATTTAAATCTCACATTAGTTGATATTAAGTTAGTAACAGAACATAAAGAGAACACGACACTGTTGGTCACGTCCCTCCACCCAAAGAGGTAAGTCAGAGCATTCTCCTGGTATTTCAGGCTGTAGTCACAGATTTCACTAAAGCTACAGTTTTCAAAGCAACACGAGCCACTCTGGTTGTCTTCCTTCATCCAGCTGAAAACACACTATTAGAATTCACAGAGGATTTCCAAACTGATTCCCTCTTCACTCTACTTCAACTTCCACTATAAAAACAGACAAGTTGGTGTAGGGGGGGCTCTTCATGTGTTTATTCTGCCTTTAAAGTTCTGTTTGCAGAATGACTGCGGTATCTGCAGATTTGTCAATTCCTGAGTGATTGTACGCAGTGCTGGCTGCCAAGGAACACCCCATGGATGCACCTCTACGGACACGACCAAAGAACAGCACGTGAGGAGTGAGATGGGCACTTGGAAGACTAGCAGACTTGGTAAAAAGGAAAGAACACCCTTGGGTAATACGGTCTTCGAATGGGAAGGATGAACTGAAACCACTATTGCCTGTGAGGAATTTTACTTTGCACAACCCTTAAAGCTATGAAATTCCTCTCAACATAAAAAAAAGTGGAAAAAACCCACCAGAGAACAGACGGCTCATTTACGAACCCGTCTGGGTCATCTAGAATTTCTGCTAAGATTAAATTACACCCCTGCATGAATCACATTACTTTTCATCATAAAAGCTTTCCATTCTAACACCTTATTTACACAGATTACTAAACAAGTCACTACCACTTCAATCTGTAAATTAGTTTTAAATTGAAATATTTCCTAGTCCTCATTTTTGTACCGAAGACAATACATACATACACATAAGGAGTAATACAGTTTCTAACTAATCACTGCAGTATCTTCTGATGATTATTTTTCTATCAGTTTAAAATAGTGACCTCTACACTGAGGTGCTAATATGTATATAAAAGCCTACACAAACAATATTGCACAAAGTAAGATTTATAATAGAGTAACATATTTTAGAGACCCTTATAAAGAGAAGAGTAATAATTGATATTAAAAAGATGCATCCAGAACTAACACAGCATCTTTGCTTTTGTCTAGTCTAACATAGTGTTTCAAATCTTTCCTACCCCAGTGAGGATTAGAACAAAGTTATCTGGAGACAGCTTAAGTTGCACCAAAACCCAACTTGTACTCTAGATGTGGGGAGGGACAGAAAGGGACGGGACTTCTCCTTTGGATGGTTGGACGGGGCAGTAATAAACGGGGCGAGTGAACGTCAAATACAGATCACATGTTAACATCCAGAAATATTGAAAGATTGTTTAAAAACTGTTGATAGCTGACACTCTACACAATTAGCATGTGCCACTGATTCTGCCACAGTACCTGGGCACCCAGAAGCTACACATGGAAACAGCACTCCGATGCCAGAATACTTTTTATTTGTGAAATAGTGATACAGAACTTCCTAGGACAAGGACAGCCGTCCCGTGTCAGTCAGTTACCAACTCAATGCTAAATATATTTAAGTGCATCAGTACAAGGGAAAGTGTGGTTCCATTGGACACATTACGACCTGATCGAAACAAGCTGCCAAGTTGGTTAGTATTTTAAAGCCTTAAAGTGCTCAAAGATAGCAGTTTCCTCCACAAGACTACCAGTAGGTTCTCTAATTCTGACACTAGTATCATTCATGTTCAGGGAAGATGCATTTCAGAAGCAAAACCCTCACACCAAACAACATAAGCAGTGCTATGAAAAGTGTTAGGTCAGTAAGTCCTTGCATTTCAACAGGATCAGACACTTTCTTCAGTTAATTTTACAGATCACCTTTGCAGGAACTGTAAGAAATAGAGATCAGTTTCTATAGCTTGTTTATAAACCAACATGTCAAGAACAGACATACCAAAGATTTCACAAATCATCAAAAGTGCTGTGCTTTTTTTTTTTTTTCTTTTTTTAAGCAATTAAAATGAGATGGGAAAGTCACTTTGCAAGTCTTCTACAAAAGCATCGCTTTCTGGTGAAGATTAAAGTAAAAGTAGGGAAATAACACTGACCAATACAGTTCAACCATTTCATGTTCCTGGAGGAATTTCATTCTGACTTTGAGGAGATATTCAATATCTCTTTTCTTAAACAGAAAGAAGTGGTAGACCACTGTTACAGGTTGTACTAAGGGGTTAAAATACAACTTGAATTTTGCATAATCTGTGTAAAAAAGATATGCTTGACATTTTGGAATGTCACCTTTCTTTATAGAATTATAGGCAAGATTTCTCCAATAAAACATAAGCCAGTTATAAAACTATAACTTCACATCAAAATTTTAAAAAGTTGTTAAAAAAACGTTTGATTATATACATATCACACAGAAGAGCCTGCATGATCCTGTGGATTGTGGTGCTGATCAGACTCTATTTTAAAACCTGGAAGGGGCTGGGCCACCTGATCTGGTTGCACAAGTCCTGATACCGGAGCAGTGGAGGAGGAGAGCAGCCCCGGCCTGAGCTGCATCTCTACACCTGGATCTTCAGACTCTATTTTAACACTCACACACTGGGGTTCACCTTCTGACTCTGTCTGTCCAGGAACGCTACTGGTGAGGCTTGAACTGCCTTCTGCACTCTGAGAATCAGTCTCCCCCACGGGGTGATACTGTTTAAGTCTGATGTGCCAGGCTAAGCTGCAGACTGCTGACACGGTTTTGAACTGATGAATGACATTTCTAGGGATGAAGTAGATGTCATTGTCACACAACTGAATCCTAGCATAGCGAATGCCTTCCCGTCTCATTTGGTTTAGTTTGGCTTCATCCACCCATTGAACACACTGAGAGAAGGAAAGATGGTAAAGTTAGTGTATACTCTGTTTAAAGTAAACTCAGTACCCACCTATTTTCAACATAGAATCACAGAATGGTTTGGGTTGGAAGGGACCTCAAAGATCATCGAGTTCCAACCCCCTGCCCTGGGCAGGGACACCTCCCACCAGAGCAGGTTGCTCAAGGCCCCATCCAGCCTGGCCTTGAACCCCTCCAGGGATGGGGCAGCCACAACTTCCCTGGGCAACCTGTTCCAGTGTCTCACCACCCTCAGAGTAAAAAATTTCTTCCTGAGATCTAATCTGAATCTTTTTTCTTCCAATTTAAAATCGTTTCCCCTTGTCCTATCATTACCCTTCCTGGCAAAGAGTCCCTCCCCAGCTCTTCTCTGTGTATAAATCAGAAGGTTTCTGTTTAACAGATAAAGCTTCAAAATTTAAATGAAAATTGGACTTTTTAAATGTAATTT